AACGCATTGTATCGCTCGGGCCCATGAAGCGACTTCAGTCGAAACTTCAACTTTTCAAAGTTTGCTGCAGCGGTTTATCTTCCTTTACATGTATGAACTCAGTGTTGATGAGAAACTGATTGTTTCCCGTTGCTCGACGATGCAGCATCGTAAACAAATTTTTCAGAAACTGATTAGCTTCTGTCTTTTGCCAAGTTTACACTCGACAAGCGCTCTTTAATTCACTCCAATGTTCGTATTGATCATTTTGTATGAAGATAGGATAAAACAGATGGTAAACTTTAAGCTCGGTCGTGTTAGAAATCTGAGTCAAGTGTTAAACATATTCTGATTTTTTGCTAAGATTCCAGCCTGAGACATTTAACACAGTCCCCTACCAGCTCCGATCACACTTTTTTGTCATTTCACTCAATTTTTTTTCAATAATGCAGTTTGAAAAATGTCCGCACTCAATTGGGAAAATGAACCACACTATTTCCACCCAAGTACATTAAGGTATTTACATTCCTCTTAATTGTCTACATCTCGGTGTTTACATTTATAAACGTATCATCCACACTTAAACACTCAACACCCTAAAAGGCTAGTGGAGGCGACAGTGTTTGACGCATTTTTCGTCACTGTTTTCAAAATCCTCAGTTGTCATCGTCGAGACTAGCTTCAATTAAAACGGACCTACATACAAACGCTTTTTTTTGCGAATGCTCTCGTGCGTTTTAAGGCGGATAGTAGTAAAAAACTCATCAAAAAGTACAATATTCGTGACTCTTCTCCGCTTGCAATTCTTAAAAAAAAAATTAATAAAAATAAAGTGAAAGTAGTATACTAATGAATCTACTACTATAATCAATGAATCATGCAAGTTGATCGTGAACTTACAATGAATAAACAGACAACAGATAAAAAGAAGTTCAGGGCAAGATTTACTTCGGATGATATTTCGACGTTTTATTTTCAGGGAACTTTTTCCTTTTTAAAAACTTGCGTCGAGAAGTAATGGCCAAAAAGGTTTTGTACGCAGCAGGGCTGTTGATCACGAGCCTGCTGTTGTACTGTACAGCTGCTCAGCAATAGAAGGCTACGGGGCGGCCGGGGCCGGAAGTTTCCAAATTTGGTATGATGCTACAGCGTCACGTCTTCAAGAGGATCACGGGAGATGCTTTGTCAGATGTGTGCCTGCGAGAATGCTATGTTGACGTTAGATGTCAAAGTTTTAACTACGTCTTTACGCAAGACATATGTGAGCTGAGCGACCGCACCAAAGAGGCCAGACCAGAGGATTATGTTCCGAACCCCGAGAGATTTTACTTTAAGGGAGATTACGAAAGAGGTTTGTAAAATTTAATGTCACCTTCCCTTTGAGGACATTTTCAGAGCCCAAATATTCAACGCAAAATTAAATGAACTATGTTACATGCCCCTTATCTTCTTGCCCCAAGTCAAGTCATCCTCCAATCAGTGTCCTCGCTCCTACGACAGACATAAAGTTTTGCTTACTTGAAGTACCATGTTGATGAATTCTTTTCCCTTCCAGTCCCTCTCGGTTCCATTCCTGAGCTGCCTGCAGAGACTTGCCAGGAAATCAAAATGAGCGAAGGAGGACAAGCGGTCAGCGGCAAATACTGGTTTTACTCGATTATACCCGACGAGACTGTTCTGGCTCCTTGTGACATGAAAACCGAAGGTACATTCATTGTTTAACAATTCATATCTTTGTCCAGGTAAAAGGCGGTTTAGCATGATCAATGAATAAGTTGACGGAGATGCTATGGGTAGACTCAAACCCCAAAAAACAAAAAAATTAAGGTTATTCGTTTGGGAAAATGAAACTACAAAGCTAAAAAAGTGGACA